TTAATTAATATAAATGTGCTGTACTTTTGCAATCAGCTTCGCAACGCAGCAACTGCAGTGTGCTCATCACAAGCCCGGGCACGATTACCTCACCTAACTACCCGAACAACTACCCTTATGGTAAGTGTCATTCCACGCTGATTATTTTATTTCTTTGAAACTCACAAAAATGCTAAAATTTCAGTGATTTCAGGTGTTTGACTTTGTAACAGGTTTGACGCTTGGCTATTCGCCCATGCCGTTGCCAGGGCCCTCTCAATATCGTCGTAGTTATTTTAGTAATTCTAACAGTCGCATTTTATCCTGTTTTGATTGTGTATTTTGTAGAATATTCCTTATGAATATCAAGTTTCATAATTCTACGTATATTGAAGCCATTCATTTATTATTCCGAACATATAAAATGTGAAAAATCAAACAAGCAAACAATAATCCTGAAGATATTTGGCGTGGGAGAACTACGCCTAGACTTGCTCGAGTTTTGTACGCATCAAATCTGCCCCTTAAAAACGTTATTTTCTCTTTTAAAAAATATGAATGAGAATTAATATATTCTTAGTGCAAGATGCGTTTGCCCGGTTTCAACTATCATCGGAAATGCATTCGATAGCGAAGTCACACACACGCACATCTCACACGCTCACACAAGCACACAAACACAACACACAACACACACATAAACTTACACTAATGTGATGTTTACTTTATCCTCCAGCGCGACGTATCTTCCATTATTATAATTATTTAGTAATTATTATCATTGCTAATTCCAACCCCCATGGGTTATAGGATCAATAAGATTACGCATGGCAGGTGGGTCATATATGAGCATGATTTGTTCTGATGAAGTTATAGACGAAACCGCTCAATTACATACCTTGCGCTGTGTAGATGTTCATTGTCATACATACATTTCTATACATTTGTTGCAATGAATACTCTTAATCGTTATTTGAAGTTATCTTGAATTGATTTGTAAAATGTTTAATTTTTAAAATATTGTTTCACAGTTTTCCGTACATTGAGTATTGATAGTCGTATAAATCAGATACTGTTACTATCAATAATAATATGTGAAAACAGCAGAATGGATCTATCATCTAAATGCAACATGCACAAATTGTCTGGTAAATATCCTGCTTTTTCACACGTTTTTAAAAAATAATTAATTAATTAATTTATTATTATTATTATTTTTTTTACTTTTCATTTCTAACTTAAACATGGAAAGATTTTGTACCATCATAATGCAGTGAAGACGTGTAATTATGAACTCGTGTAATTTTCTTGCATTTTGTTCTGCATATACGAGTGTAAAGAAACTACTTATTTCTCAAGACAGTTGTGTACAATTTTGTCTACTTTTTTCTATGGAAAGAGAAATATATTATAGCACATATTATAGCTCACAACAAGGCTCTTCGATGTTAATATATCGTTTGTGGAAATTAGAAATATTGCTTTTTTAAACCTATACTACAAAACTATATTGGAATAAAAAGCTCTACTGAACTTTTTACTGTTCACATAAGAAAAAAATATTAATCAAATGCCAAGGAAATTTTCCATATAATACCCTACTTTACATGAATTTTGAGATCTCGAGGGCAGAGTAAAACTGCGACTTTGATCATCCTTGCCTAAAAAAGAAAAGAAAAGAAAAAAAAAAAAACATAGTAAACTACAGTGATATTTAATTCTTGTTCTGCTTATTTCTTGCAGGACTAGTATGTGCCAAGTGGATACTAGCGCCCGAGTGCAGCCTGCCCAGAGTGACTTTCAATGCCTTCAGGCTCACATACTGTAGGGACAGATTGGAGATTAGGACAAACAACCGCTACGATGGCAACTTGTAAGTCCTCCTCATCCTTGTAAATGTGTCCGGAACTGAGTTGGCGTATATTGTCATTGGGACTTACTAAAACATGAATTTAGTCTGCTTACAATTGCCCGAGAGATTAATTACTTGAATGTCTGCCTACAGCTACTGTGGCACCAGTATCGCCCCAGGGACCGCGTTTACCTCAACTACCAATGAGCTCATTCTGATGTTTTACACAAGAACCAATTACCAGACTGGTTGGTCTGCAAATGTCACTTTTGTTGATGATCCTAACTGCAGCCTGACCACTCTGCCACCAATCACGCAAGCACCTACCACTCTACCACAAACCACGCAAGCACCTACCTTTCTCCCACCAACCACACAAATACCTACCACTCTGCCACAAACCACGCAAGCACCTACCACTCTCCCACCAACCACGCAAGCACCTACCACTCTCCCACCAACCACGGAAGCACCTACCACTTTACCACCAACCACGGAAACACCTACCACTCTCACACCAACCACGGAAGCACCTACCACTCTCACACCAACCACGGAAGCACCTACCACTCTGCCACCAACCACGCAAGCACCTACCACTCTGCCACCAACCACGGTAGCACCTACCACTCTGCCACCAACCACGCAAACACTTACTACTCTACCACCTACCACTATGCCACCAACCACACTACAACCCGTTCCAAACTGTTCGATACTGTCTACCAGTGCTGGAGTAACTTGGCTCTCACCACACTTCGGCTACGAGAACTACCCAAACAACTTCATGTGTGGACTTACTGAGCATGCGGTGAGTATTGGGAATGTCCTCCGTTTCTGTTTGTTGTTTGTTTTGTTAATCACTTTGAATCAGGTTTTAAACTGACTTACCATCTTCCAGGATTCTCCATACATGACCGCCTTCAAGATCAACACTTTGCAACTGCAGCGGAAGAAACATAGGCAATGCGTTGACTTTATTGGGATTCAGATTCCTTACAGCAGGACTTTAAAGTAAGAACTGACAACACAAAGGCATTTAACTATGCTTTCGTTTTCTTAGATGATCACACACTTATTTGTAGTGGGTAGATTTCGTTCTTGGATATATATTTTCCTTAGTAGGCCAAAATACCAGATGTTTAGCCCACATCTAAGGGAACGTGTCCGGCAAAACTCATGCCTACAAATGGCCGATTTACACGTCTGTCTTATGGCCATATTTGAAGTATGTACATGTACGTGACATGTGAGCCTAATCGGATATGAGAGATGATGGAGATAGCAAGAGACAGATAAAAACGGTAGGATTACATTTCACACTATCAGGGATATTTCATACTTAAGATATGTTCCATGCGTAATCAATATGTTGTTTAATGATATATAAGCTATATATACCTTTTTTTATAAATGATTCTCAGAGCCATTTCTGGATTATATTTGCGACGATGGGTTAGTTAAATATTCACAAATATATTTGCCTTTAAGAATGAGCCTGAATATGCAATTGCAAATGTTCATGTTTTTTTGGTCTGATGGACACCAAATGGACATGAATAAATGTGATATCATGAGTAACTGTACAGACGCTAGAATACTATGAAAAAAAAAAAAAAAAACCCGACGTGAACACGAAATGATGTGACACGAAAGCCATTACTTTCCGCCCGAGTCCGATCCCAGCTGATGCCAGTCCCTCAGTTAGGCTCAAAGACGGAATCTAAAGCCAGTGTTCTACCGCTGAGCTACCAGCTACCAGCATAAAACTAACAAATACTCTTCCTTCTGTAGATGGGATACTTCGGTAGATTTAAAGAAACACACACACACCACACAAATATCGAGAGATTAGTATGAAAACATAAGGTGCAGTTATGTACAAAGACAATGGTAGCAATATTTTTTTTTCGATTTTTTAGTGTAAGACAACTTTTCATATGACATTTCCTTCTTAGGCTGTGTGGTACAAAGAGAGGGACTGTTCTAGTACCGAATAGGAATCTGAACATCAGCTTCGTGACTGACAACTCTGTAACAGACGTCGGATTTAGCATCAGTATCACGTGGCGGCAGAGTAAATGTCACCGCATCATTGAACTAACGGACTTCTCTGCAATGGGCATCATCACGAGTCCAAGGTTCCCGAAAAAATATACTAAACATACAGTCTGCGAGTGGTGGATTGTGGTAAGGAATCCGTTGATTTCTGCATTATAAGACAGTGAAGATATGAAAAATTAAAAAGAGAAACTTGATTGATACTCCCATGTATTTTTAAAACCATTTCAGGCCCCTGAAGGTAAAAGAATCCAACTAGAATTCACACGAATCAGCCTCAGGGACAGGAACTGCCTTAATTCTTACATCGTCATAGACAAGTCAGGGCAGGCCACCTACTGGCGAGAGAACAGCTCACTTCTCTGCGCTGTTCACAGAACGGCGACAGTCGTCTCGGTTGGCCGCGCCGTTAACGTTGCTTTCGCCGGCGGACGGAAGCGCTCTTGGGGCTTCTCTGCTCAATACACCGTTGTGTAAAAAGACCGCATAATATGAGGATGGTGCTTCTGTAATGGCACTTGCAGGTTGATGCATACATTGACAGTCAACACGTACAAACGCATATATAGCTCCACGCACTTTCAGGAATACCTGCGCTAAACATATGCATCATTTATCAGTCAGAAACTATTTATACAAAATAGCTATTAAACGCTCTGTAAATATAGACATAATTTTAGATTTTTACTACGAATATACTCTGGAGCAATAAAGGACTGATACCTCAGTGTTTTTTTGTAGTCTTCAATATAATTTACCTATGAATTTATCCTTACAAATATACACGCACGAACCTCTTTTATACAGGCCTATGCAGGATATTGAAAAAGGGGTTACTCATACCGATACCGTATAACGGCGCCCAAATGAAGGCTAGTAAAAAGGTCCAAAATAGAAAATACAAATATTGTTATATTACCAAACCCAAAATGTATTAAATAATTGTTAGATGTCATTTTTTGGCATAAATATTTAAACTTGTTCAGTCCCTATACAACACGAAATACGCCTAATGATTACCATACATCGTGTTTCAAAGTCCTAATATATTTTCGAAACTTCGGTTATTTTTGTCGTGATATTTTCAGTGGTTCCTACGTTAAAAATCTGGCTCCTCTTGTTTTCATGTTCACTCCAGAGTATGTTATTGGTCTCGGACATACCATATTTCAAACTTATCATAACTGAATTTCATATATTTAATTGCCCAATTACATGTGGCATGTTGATCCTCTTTAATGCTCTTCTCTTCATTTTGTAAATTCATTGGTGAGTTTCTTGTATTTAAGATTATTGATGTCCCCACTCATAATTAGGAGCAACAAAGGTCAAAAACAGAACTCCCCTTCTAACAACTGAATCGTCAGATAAATATCCAATAAGCATTACATTCTCTGTATATGTGTGGAAATTGTGTATCCACATCTCAAAAAAAAAAAAAAAAAAAAAAAAAAAAAAAAAAAAAAAAAAAAAAAAAAAACATGCCAGGGTCGAAACCTTTTACAAAACCTGTTACCTTAGTTTCTTTATATTTGGTTAGGTCTGTTAGCTTGTGTACACAGTGGTTCAGGATATAAACAAGATCTGCGCTTCTATTTTTCCCCCAGAGACGGGCCATTATCTGTGCTTGTTTTAACATGTCCGTGGCAGTGATTTACAGTTTTTGGCCTGGCCTTAGTTTTTACCTTTCTTGATGGAGATATTTCCCTCTACCGATGGAATTAGAATAATGAGGCAGTGGTCCTTTTAAATGCACATATGATCCATACCTCTACCAGTTTTCTGAAGTATCAACAGAGGCATGATGTTCTAGACCAGACAACTGCTTTCTGTAATAAAAACGAATATCAAAATTTATTGAGTTGCATTACTCTTTTTTCTTAATCACCAAGGAGTCGGTTACGAGTCAGTTCACTTCCTCCAAAACCTCCCTACAGTGAGGTTCATTAACTTCAGTCAAGGATAGGACGTATGAAGTTTTATTTCTGATGGTTTTGGTGGATTTATGATGATAAAGCTTCGGTTTGTGTAATGGCACGGCCATGTTGGATACAAAATTGGCTGGCTGGGTGTTTGGAAAAAGTGGAATCAAATCGTTGACAAAGGTGAATTTGTGAATTTAAATTTTGTATTAAATATGACCGCGCCTGTCCACAAACCGAAACGGGAGACTGAAAATTCGGTACGTTACGGTGTTCTTTCGCACCCGCCAGTGATCCTTCATCAACACCTTCAAAAACAAATCAATCTACTAGGGTTAAAAACATACATAATACCTTCAGTTCAGTTAGATTTGCGAAGTCTGGCTCCGCCCGGGCTTTTTCTCTAGAATGGCCTGCCCTTTGTCAGCTATTTTTTAGTTGACTCGTTTTGTTTGAAATATATGCTTAGCGTTGTGGCCAGGTTGCGAGAAATCGTTCCAGTTTTCACCATACAAGTATGTGGTAAACCCTCTTTACCTGCCCAGCAGCTGTTGGGGGGGGGGGTCTCTGTCTCAGAAACTGAGTGTTCACAATTCTGTAAGTAATGTAACAGGGTGCTTACATTCCTTGTCAACCACGTCACTAATAATTTGCCAAGCACATGGCTAACATAGTCATAATCTGTGCAGCATGACTTCGGTAACTCTGTTTATTTTTGGAGGAAAGGCCAGTGGCTCATAGCCTCGTACTTTCTCTGTGTGTCAGGCGGAGAATGGCAAGAGCCGTAGCTTTGGAACTTTTGCTCAATCTTCTTTGGCTTGGGTTGACGATCATGGGTGTTGGGGGCATGCCCCTGCCTTTTCGACTAGTCGGTCAGCAAGCTCATTCCTTTGGATGCCTATGTGGTTTCGGACCAAGTTTATGATTATTCTTCTACACTGACCAAGGATCTTCTGTGCTATGGTGAGGACAGTAGTCATGAATTAGATGTCGGGCATGTTGTGTTGTAGACAGTGGCTGATCTAGAATCTGTGTGTATGACTACGTGTCGTTCCCTTTGGGACGAGTGGGGCCAAGGTTCCCATGATTGCAACTGTTTTAGCTTGGAGCAGTAAGGCATTGTCAGTGATCCTGATAGATGTGGCATCCCTTGCTGCGAAGCAAGCGCCTGCAGTGCGTTTTATGGGATCCACTGATGTCCGTGAAGTAGGTTCTACTACCTGGAGGAATGATTTCTGCAATGACCCATTGTACTTGTGCCTTCAGGTTAGGCATATTGTATTAGTCTTTTCTCTTCCATAAGAAGGTTGATGACCTTTGTCCATCTGGGGCATCCATAATGATCCTGGCTGCTTCATTAAGGCCTGTCCAATTAATAAAAAAAAAAAAAATGTACAATGAGGGCAATAGAAGCATGTCAATAATAGGTTGGGCAGCGTGTTCATAGAATGCGCTTAGTACTTTGTGTCCCGCTCCTGTGTGTCTCCCGGTCATTACTTTCATGACAGTCTTTGTTCGGTCAAGCAGGTACTGGATCTCCTTTTTGAACGGTACAGGCAGTCCTTGACCCATTCCAGATCCATTCCCTGGACAGTGAGTTTTGTCTTTTTGACATTGGTTTTCAGAGACATAGCTTTTGATTTTGCTGCTGAGATCTTTAGACCCGTTCTACAGCACTCTTCAGACAAGGTCCAGACAATGCTGGGCTCTAGTTAGGTAATGCTTGCCAGATCATCTGCATAAGAGATGATCTTACATCCTTCTGGCAGGTGAATGTTGAGTATGCTGGACATGAGGGTATTGAAAAGAGCAGGACAGAGGATCCCATGCTGTGACATTCCATTTTCAAGTGGAATATGCTGAGATAAGTGACCTTGAAACCTGACATTTGCTGTTCTGTTGTTGTAATAGTCAGCTATCCAGGCCAAGAGCCTACCTCTGATTCCCATGTGGATTAGGGTCTCCTGAATGATGAGAGGACTTGCTAATTCAAAAGCTTTCTCCAGGTCTAGGAATACAACCACGGAGTAGTGCATTTTGTGCTTAGGGGGTCCTATTTTCCACCGGAGCTGATTTAGTACCAGCTGAGCTGAGGAGAGAAATGGGTCAGTACCTGCCTGGCTCCTTTGGTTTGGGTAGCGTGGCAGTTTGCTAGGACTTGTTGATGAGCTGCAGAAATGCAGTGTGAGATGATGGGGTAGGAGATCTGATCAGAGCCTGGTGCTGATCCAAAACTGTTTTTATATATTTTTCCTTGTTCCCTGAGGGAGAACAGGGCATCCGAGTCATCAGGTTGGAGTGCCTTGTCACTGATGAGAGCAATCCTGCCTGGATTTAGGCGTTTTTTCCTCAATGCAGGATGCAAGCTGTTGCTGCTGATTTTGGCTGAGAACTCGAGTACCAGCCTGTGTGCCTCTGATTAGGGGTCATATTGCGTGCATCTCGGGGCTTGGTGGCTGGTAGCTCACCTGACCCATTTCCACAGCTTTGAGAGGTTGGTCTGGTAGCCAAAGGACTGGCACCATTCCTGCCGCTTTTCCTGCTTGACTCTGCTGGCAGTTTCCTTGGCATCCCCAGCTTCCTTTAAAAGGGCAAAGTTCTTTGGCATCAGAAGTTTTATTCTGCACATGTTAACTCTGTGGTTGACCTCCTTGGTCTCATCATTATAGTACCAGGAGTCTTTATGAGTTCTTGCCCATGTCTTTGCGAGTTCTGGGAGAGTTTTGGGATGGTCTGAGAGGCTGCCTGATTTATGGCCTGGACTGGTCGAGCACGTCTACATTTTCACTGTTTGTGGGTTCATTGCATCTCAGACAGTGGGCCAAGCCCTTTTGGAAGGCCAGTTGGTCTTGTCTGTTTTTCATTTGGGGATGTCTTATGGTCTTTGGGCTTACCCAGCATCCAAGAGGGTAGTGACTGTGCCATAGTGATCACTTGTAACGGTTTAATCGACACACCACCGAATTCTCTCCACCATTGTTGCAATGGCTACATATGTGTTGGTTCTTGGGTGTTGTGAAGAGCGATCTTGGAATGTGCCAAGCACGTCTGCGATATGAATGCTTGCCGCATTTGGCCTCCTGCAAGGATCTAACATAGACAGATGTGCATTGAAGTCTCTCCCTATGATCGCTCAGTCTTGTGCTGCAGTAGCACACACCCGGTTTAAATCTAAGCTGTCAGACAGTGGTTTGCTGTACACATTATACAGTGGATTTTGCAAATATAAAGATACGGCATATTTTGTCCAACCTAAACACCTCTTACGCATCGTCCACAATGCACGTATCACGACCTAAATGATCCATCTTCAATGTGTATAGATGCTAGGCGAGTGTTGCAATGTAACGAACAACTAGGTAGTCATTTAGCAACGTTATACTACTACAATTACAGAACTGTGGTGTGCAAAATTGACTCCCCTAGATGGCGCCAGTTTTAGTTTCAAATTTTGCCGCCCGAAAATGTTACGATGCTTGATCCAGTTTTATCTAGATCAGTGATCGCGTCACTTTGGTGTGAAATCTGGGGGGTGAGGGGAGCCAGCGATAACAACCGAGAGCATTTTGCCTCGGGTATCTTGGGCTTTCCAGGGTGCAATTTAAAATTATTGCCTGTAATTCACTTAAAGAAATTATATATATATAACTATAAAGTTAACACAAGTTATATTAGAGATTTATATAATACATTTAGAGTTAATAATCACAAAATTCGTTTGTATTACCTAAAACAAATAAGACAAGAAATGGCTGATTTGAAACAGGATCTACACTCGCGTCGACGGCCCGTCAGACTAG